AAAGAATTTCAACTTGTCTGGCCAAAGAGAGGAGAGAAGAGGTCTTCCAAACAGCTTTGAAAGGAAAAAAGCATGAAGAAGCTCCTGCTGTGACAGTGAACATGTACAACCAGAGCCACGCCTTTGAAGACTCCAAAGAGTGCTCCAGCAAACAATGACATGAACCCAGGAAATGGGTGACGTTTCTTAAGTGGCTCAAGGGAGATTGTTCCAGAAAGAGAGATGCTGCTGATGTTCCAGAAGAGATCAGAAACCAGGAAATAGGGGAAGTTCCACTGAGTCTGTTAAGAAGAAAGAAAGAAGAAGAAAGAAATGAAAAAATAAAATTAAAAGGTACCTAAACGACGTCGTCTCAACCACTCAAATCCGCGTCAACAAACTAACGTGCCAAGTGTGCACCGTTAGTTAGGCCGTTGGGCGAGATTTATCATAAGGATGAACGTGACTTGTTTTTTGTTATTTAAGGGACCAATATATCTATTTTTTATTGATAGGGACTAAAAAGAGTTTCATGAATATTGCAAAAAAATATTTACTCTTTATATTAATCAATGCTTATTATTTGATGTATAAACATATTTGGACTTCATAGGGTCCAAAACAATGATGACAATCTATAGATGAAAAAAGCGCCGCTTTTGTGCACAATAACGCTTCCATAGCGGGTAGCACCTATGAGCCGCACAAACTGCACGCAATGCAACACTTTAATGTAGCGGCAGTAGCAGTCATAAACTTGCGGAAGCTTGTAGCATGAATAGCAGTGCAATTTCGCGGTAATGTGAAAGAGAAATAGAAAAGTTATAATACAAGGGGTATTAATGGTTTGAAATTTTATTTTTAAGGGTACAAAAGTCTTTTTAGTTTAAACCCTTATTATTTTAAGTGTAAATACCCTTTGCGTTCCTAATAAAAAACACGATTTTTACATTAATCATTTACAAAAAAAAATTAGTCAATTCATTCTTATGAAATTCAAAGTGGATTAATTTTAGTCTTTTTGAGGGACTAATGTGGATTTTTTTTGAATTTATGAGAGACCGCGATTTCAACTAAATGAATCCACTTTGAATTTCTTAGGGACCTCGAGACTAATTTTTTTTGTAAGGGACCAAAGTGAGGATCGTATTTTTTGTTAGGGACCAAAAATGATATCTACTCTTATTTTAATATTCATCTTTCCTGCCACTCGGTTACTTTTTAGAATAAATATCATTTTTTGTCCTCAGCAAATTTCACGATACCCGCTTTAGTCCCTAACAAATAAAAAGACTATTCATGGTCCACAAAAAATTCAAAGTGGATCTATTTTAGTCATTTTGAGAGATTTATGTAGGTCTTTTCTAAAATTGTGATGGACCATGATTTCAACTAAATAGGTCCATTTTGAATTTCTTAGGGACTACGAATAGCGTTTTTTTTACTAGTGACTAAAGCGGGCATCGTAAAATTGGCTAAAGACCAAAAAAAATATTTACTCTACTTTTTATATGTCAGTCATTTTTTTTTGCTATCTCACTCATTTTTTGATTTTCTTTTCTCTCTCTTATTTTCTATCTTCAATCTCTCTGTTTTACATTAAGTGGCGGAGCCATGATGTTATGTCCATCCGGTCGATTTTCAAAAATTAGTTATTTTTTAAACATGGCTAATTAAATAACCGTAGCTAAATTTATGAATAAAATTTAATATTCGACATCACCGAAATTTTTATTCATCCTAATTCAATGAATGAGTTGGCTCGGCCACTTTCTACATTTCTGGCTTTGAAATTGATATTCCAACAAACCTATTCTATTATCTTCCTTCAATCTCTCTGTTATACTTTTTTTGGCTTCGAACTAATATTCCAGTAAGGCAGCCAGCCTACCATGGTGGCGAAAACTCTCTGACGGCGCAGGCGGAGACCCTTAATATATTTTTGGAACGTTGCAGCCATCCTTTGTTTTCTGATTTCCTCACAAACAAAACTCCAACGTTTACTGTTATATTATTATACCGAGTATATTATTAATATTATTATATTATTATTTTACATGAAAACTCTGATTAAAATCAATATATTACTAAATTTATATTGACTAAATATTAATCTATTTTTATGTTTTATATAAATATAAATATATTATAAAATATTTTATTAATTTAAATATATTATTGATATTAATATATATATCAATATATTCTATTTTCTGATATTGAATAAAATTTAGAATATATTATTAATACATTTTTATGTATATTATAGAATATATTATTCATCTGAACATATTATTAATACGAATATATATTAGTATAATATTTTTTGTTAAAATTATGAGCATATTATCAATTTATTTTTATATATACTATTGAATACATTAAAAATTTAAATATATTATTGATCAGACCACTTCATTAGAATTATATTAATATGAATATTTTAATTTATTAATGTATTAATATTATGAGTGATTTGTTATATTTTATATTACAATTATAGAGAATATTCTTATTTATGTATAATCTGTTATATTTTTTGAATCCTTGTTTGGAATGAAAGTGATAATAAAATTAATTATGAATGAATTTTTTTAATTTTGAGTAATTTTTTATTCTTTTCGGTTTTGTTGTAGCGGTTATATTGCTATACCACTATAGCATTTTTGAAGTGGGCCCCGCTACCCTTTTTTTAATAACTATGTAACAATTTCCACCCAAGCTCGTTTTACCCTTAACTAAATTTTATGTACATATTTATATATATATTACATTGTTTTGAAAGATTTATGCTCATTTACGTTGTTATTCCCAAAACTCATAAAAGAAGTCATTTTTTGGAGAAAAAAAATTTGACAAGGATATTTGTCATTATTGATAAAATCTCAATTTATCACTACGATTTTACGTTTTTATGATTTTTTTCATCAAAACAATTTTACTAATAATATTCCAAACGCTTTTACATTTTTATGATTTTTTACGATTTTTTTACATTCTGATTTTGCATTTTACGATTTTTTAATCGTCTTCCGATTTTAATTAAGATCTCGATTTTTACAACATTGATATTTGCCATTATATAAATCTCGAAGAGTTATATGAAATAAAAAAAAATCAATTCGGACAACTGAGTCAAAAGTTATGCCCTTTGAAAGTTTACACAATTTTTGGATATAAAGAGTTTGGATAAACATTGTTCTTGATTATTTTGGATTAACAAACACCCATCCCAAGTTCATTTATACATATACAAGATATTAGAACTTGATTTGAATAAAAAATACTTGTGGATCGAAATTTGAGTTGCCCACTTGCCTAGTTTACTTAAGTAACTGACCCAATTACTCGAGTAAGTCATCTACTCAAGTAACTGGCCCACTTGCTTGATTTACTCAAGTAACTATCTCAATGACTCGATTAAGTTATTTTCTCGAGTAAATAACTCGTTAATCAAGTAAGTCATTTACTTAAATAAGTGGGCTTAGTTATTAGGGGTGCTCGCGATCTAAATTAGATCAGTTTTGGAAGCAAAAATCATCTGATTTAATCCCTTCGATTTAATCATGTAATCATCTATTCGGTTTAAATTTTTTTTTTCAAATATGATCCGATCCAATCCAATTTTATTCGATTTGGATTAGATCGGTTTTCGATGTTTTGAAAAGCCTAAGATTTGTATGATGATTATTGTGCAAATAATATATCTTTTGTATGTATCGACTTTGTAATGTTTGTAAGATGATTATTGAGCAATTAAGCATTGTACAACAAAATGTTGAATTACCATTTTGTACCTCCAACAAAAAATTTATAATATGGTTGCCTGAAATATGAAGTAACCCAAATTCTCATCCTATAGAGGAGTTGTTGTACAACAATAACTCATGTAATAAAAATATATTATGTATTTTACAAAAAGAAATCATAACATAGATCAAACACAACTCACTTTCTCCAACATGATGGATTAATGGGTCTTGGATTTAAAATTTTGCTATATAATTTTTGGGCTATGATTGAGGAAGTGCCCAAGTTGTTAGATGGTAAGGTCGGAGAATCATTGGACTGTTTTGGATTGGATCGATTTTCACCAACCAATTCAAAAATCGATCCAATTCAATTAAATTTTGCGGTTTTTTTTTCGATTTTTGGTTAATTCAGTTTTCAATTTTTCGATTCGATTATCGTAATTCAAATCGGTTTGGATCGGTTGATGAACACCCCATTAATTATCGGAGTAGCTTACTGTCAAGAATACATTGATATATAGTTAGGAAAAATGGTAAAATAATAAATTTTTTAAAAAAAGCAAGGGCAAAATGGTCAATCAACCGAATTTTTGGCCATAAATTTGAAGGGATTCCCGGCTATTTGACTCCTTTGGGGTGTTTGTGAATTGTGATCCCAATTTTCATGTTTGGTACGCCTTAGAATTTATTTTCTGATGAAAGAGATGTTTGGTTATGCTGCCTTACCCCTTGCGGAACTGTTTTTCATCTTTATCTTTATTTTCTTCGCCAGTTCCGCGGCCCACCTTCTTTGAAACTCATTTTTCTTCCCAAAATCAGTTCAGCTAACATCCCGCGAAGCTGGTTTAAATTTTAAATTTTCCTACTACCGGTTCCGCAAGGAACCTTGATATTTTTTTAACTGGCAACTCTCAAAATAGTTTTATTGAGTTGAAAACAAAACTAATTCATAACAAAATCACATTGGATGCATCTACGACTAATTGAAAGGAGTAAGGAAGACATAGCAAAGAAAAGAGAATAAGAATGAGCTACATGATAGAGTCTGTCGTGGAGAGTAATTATTCCTCCAAAATATAGAAGAAACTCTAATGAAAATTGAATGTCATTCTAAGACATACGAATCCCTACTTATAGACTTTAATGAGGAGTTGCGTGCTCTAGCGCTTTGAGTTTTTTGCACAGCGGTATGACAGTTCCTATTTTATCATCTATCTTGTGCGCATATTACAGGTCCACCATTCCATTACCTCGCGCTCCAGTGCTCCATTATCCTAGCACTGCAGCACTCTGTATCAAGTGGGGATACCAATGTCTGAAAAACACGGGTAAATCATCAAAAAATCCTATGAAAATAACAAAAGATATCTGGTAGAGATATATAAAACCATTAATCTAAGTCACTCCAGATTTTAGATTGAATTGGTTCTTTACATGGTATCAGAACTTTAATAATCACAAGGTCATGGGTTTGATTTTTACCACCCCACTTTCTTTTATGAAATTTCTTAGCATAGGTAGGTGGGCTTGTGTTTTGTCCACCTTCAAGTCCAATGACCTTACTTGGGAGGAGACATATTGATATATATAAAATCATTAATCTAACCTCATTTAACAGGTTGAATTGATTCCTTTACTGTATCTAAATATTAAGTTTGTCGTAAATGCATAAAAAGTTTTTGAGAGTTCTTATACTCCTTTTTAAATAAGAGAAATAGATAATAAAAAACTTTCGAGTATGACCCAATACAAATTTGTTAACTAGAAAAATTGCATAAACAAAAGTTTATATATTGACTTACTAATAATAATCTGAAGGTCATTTGATCTTCATAATTGGAACCAACATTAATTTTATTAAAAGATGGTTTCCTTTTTTGTATATATTAACAAAAGTGTAGTTAGAATCTCAGACTCTAATACGAGATTTTTTTCCATCAGCAGCAGAAGCATATATAGTAGGCACTATCAGTTAGTTGACAAATTTATATTAGTATATGTAAGGGTGTTATATCAATATTGTTGGTCACTGATCCTGTTTTTATGCAACTAATTTAATTTATTAGGTATGTGAGTCCATAGATCAATAGCTAAAGATTGAGAGTAAGACTCATATCACCCTCTCTCTTAATTGCCCAAAAAAAAAAACCAACAGCACTAACAAAAGAAAAAGATTCACGATAAAGCATACCTGGAAATGCAAGTTATAGAAGACCCTCCCTCCGAAGGTTTCAGAGGAAGAAGCATTTAGCAGAGAAAGACCATTATTTTCTGAAATCAGCAAGATATCGGATAGTGGAGTCTTGTTGACCTCTTGAGAGCAAATCTGAATAGCAGCCTCATTGTCATTGAGCCTAGTTGTTGAAACTACAAAAGCAGAATTGTGATGGGGAATCTTCCTTTTAAATTCTTTATTCACTGCATCTCTTTCCTGAGAAATTCTCGATAAAAGTTCTTCTTTTTTCTTAATTAGTCCTTCCAAATGCTGCTGTAACTCAGGTACGTATGTTATTACTCGCGAAATTGTTTCCGGAATGCTCATTTTTTTCTGCAACATTAAAATTGAATCATATCTCTATTGATGATAATTTAGCTTCTAACTAAAAGAGCTGCGGGTTACCACTGAAACTTGCACATGTATGTAAAGGATTAAATTTGAAAGAAGCTTGTACTAGCATGTCCTTGTTTGAAGTAGGTGTTTCATCCCATTTGCATTACTCTAAAATGAGTGTTTATTTCCTACGTGACTTTGCAAATTAACATATAAATCAGGTTGCGTTTTAGAACTTTATCTTATAATTAGTATTCTCTAACCCAAAAGCTTAAGCTGTTAGGTGAGATTATATTAATAATTTTATATATCTCAACTCGCCCCTTCACACGAGAGAAATGCACAGACCCACCTACTTGTGCGACCAAAAACTTAAGCTGTTAGTGAGCACGCCCCCTAACATGAGAGCCCACTGTACTTGAAGGGTGGAGGTCCACCTAATTGTGCTAAGAAAATTTCACAAGAGAAAATGGAGGGCGATGAGGATCGAACCCGGGACGCAAGGCTCTGATACTATGTAAAGAATCAATTCAACCTAAAAGCTTAAGCTGTTAGGTGAGACTACATATTAATATGGTTTTATATATCTCAATATTCTCCAATTATTTTGATTAATAGACTTCCCAGTTTACAATAATCTGTTATAAACAATCATGTAATTAGCGAAGGATAACCATTCCTAATTTCCTGAAGTTGTTGCTTACAAAAGATTCTAAAGAAGGATTTTTCTTGCATGAGCATTAAAGAATAGAGGAAGTAAAAGAGAGGACTTAAACTACCTTTTGATGTGACACTGGAAGAAGTGAACGAAGTGAAAAAATCAAGTTATTGATTTTCTTGCGACGATCACGTTCTCGAGCATTATGGTTAACCTTCTTGGTGGATGATGGTGTAGAGTTTTTAACCTCAACCCGTGGCTGTGGTGAAGAGAATTTATGGGAAATTGAGTACTCTGAGGACACGGTATCTTTATAGTAGTTCTTCTTTTTATGGTTTAAGGGCTCCTCCTCTAAGTTCCAGCCCATGTTTGAGAATAGAGGAGGAGTAGAGATTGCAAGCATCATATGGATTTGTTAGAGGCAGTGAATAAGTTGCTTTGAAATTAGATGATCATGACTTGTATATATATATATATGTATATATGCAAACCATCTTCCTTAATGTTAGCGCTCATATTTATAAATTGAGCAAGTGGCTGTTAAAAATTGAATAAACTATATGCTTTTCCCCCCTCTTCTCGTTCATTATATTATTCAATAATAATTTCTTCTTTTGAGTCAGACATTAAATAATTCTTCAAGTAGTAGGATGCTACGCACGGTCATAAAATTATTTTCTCACTAGAGAATTAATTAGCTAGGTGCGCATGCATGATTGCATGTGCACGTCGTCGGTGATGTAGCAAGTATCTGTTTATTTATCTATGTATGGGAGAGAGCACGAGAACGCAACTACTTATTTGGGTTTTGTTTACTTTTTTTAAAGGTGAACTGTTTTTCTTTTTCTTTTTCTTTAGATTATATTGCCGTCTATTCTCTTTATGATACTGCATGTACAGTTATTACTAATTAAATTAATCACATTCAATAAAATATATTTATATTCCTAACTTCTTGATATCTTCGTTTCATGATATTAAATTTCAGTCTTCTATAACTGACGCCGCTGTCTATTATGATTGTTGTAATATTAAAATATTGGTGATTCTCGCAACAACAATTATGATTATTACATCACCTGTATTCTTAATTTTAATAATCGTAACATGATTATTACTTCAATTTAAAATCGTGTTATATATAAATATTTATCGGTCAAATATGCATCCATCTGAATGAGAAATGCTTCGGCCCCACCGAGTAATTATTATATATTTAGCTATGCAAATTATCGATCACAAGTGGTTGCTTGTAAAACTTAATTGTAGCCATTGTATTACATATGGCTACAAAGCCTTAATTTCGCTTCCTTGTCTATGGTTTGCACTTAAGGCAGGTTTCCATTAGTTATAAGTTATATCAGGTAGTACATCATAATAATAATTTGGGTTTTATGATAATTATGTTATAGGAAAAGTGATTGTGTTATGTTATAGAGATTCGTTTTGCGTGTCAGAGTTTTTTTTTTTTTTGCTTCAAAAATTGCGGGTTCCACAAAATGTTGTGTGTGTAAAAAAATTGTTGTGGTCATGTTAAATGATAGATGTAAATTTCTAATAATTTATGAAGACAAGAAATTTCTGAAGCTACAAAAATGAGTAGTTTGCCCTGCATGGAGGATGACGGTAATATTAAATATAGGTTGAGTTTAGTGTTTCTCATATCACCATAAATAAGTTATTTCTTACAATTTTAAAATAATATCATTTGAAGATTTGAGAATATAATTAAAATACAAGGTATTTTGGAAAATTGATGTTGCAAGAGAGAAATCAAATTTTCAAAACACTATATTTATTTTTCCTCAAATCCCAAATCCACATCGTATTAAGCTTACAGGAGTTGAGTTCTTCACCTGTAACAAAAGGAACAATTTTGTCATATAGGTTAATCCCACGTCAATATTATTGTATCTGTATCTTAATGTTTTATAAAAAAATTATCGTCTTTGCTCAAAGGATGTCATGAACTTATACGTGATCCCTTTACCGAAATGGATGGGATTAGTGTAACACCCCGTATGCACCTAGTGTATTAAACATATAATGATAATAAGCGCAACTAAATAAATGCGGAAACTAAATTTTTTTAATTATGAAACTTATCATATTAACCAAGTGGATTTACTTATTCTTTTTCAAAAAGCGGCCTGTATGTAAATTGCAATAAATACCTATACTGAATAACCTCATATCATAAATAAATATCAAGTCATGGAACTACAACTCGTAGACCAGACAAATCTTGATACAATAGAACAACTCAAGTCTGAAATAAACATAGCTTATACCAATATGACATGGACAACCCTCATGCTCACTAAATAGAATAACATAGTAAGATCATGTCTAATAGCCATATAATAATAACCAGGCGTGATCATATGAAAATATGGCAATAAAGAAGCATGTATAATATCAGCTCAACTCCGGCCACCATAGATCTCAACCTCAGAGGTACCTCTACCTGAAAATATGCCCCACATGGGGTGAGATCTCAAATAAGAAATCTCATTAAGACAAGGGATCCTTAAGCATCTATCCACCCCAAGTTCACTTACATGTGCAATATAAGCTCCAAAAAGATAATAACAGTATAATGCAGATATCCATATAATGCAGCATATGTCATGTGTGTATGCATCCTACTGGCCAGAGAATAAAATGTAAGAATTACGTACGTCTACAACCCACAGTACAAGACTCCTCTCTTGTACCTCACCCATGGAGTTACCATCTTGTATGTTTCCACATACTCAGGGATTACTGTCTAGGTGGAACACCCCACATACATAACATACGACATTCACACTCATAAAACTGTTCAACAACATATCAATAATCTTCACATATTTTCATAAAAACACATCATGCATAGAAACCACCCCTCTATGAGGTATGGTGGAACCATGAACCATCAATGGGTAAAATCGAGGACACAAAAGCTTACCTGTAGTGCCAAATCCCTATCCAAAGGCTCGGTATCCATAGACACACCAACAGTAACACAATCCGACAATTGCAATATGTTTTGTATGAAAACATAATTAATATTCAGAAATCCCAATTTCCTATCCATTGAGCAATGTTTTCTTTTTTCATTTAATGACTTACATCCTTTCTAAATCATAATTATCGTATATTAATTCTAACTATTATTGGTATTAATGTTTCCTATTAGTAACATTGAATACCTAGGGTATCATACCTAAATTGAGACTTTCCCACGCATCACAACTGGTTTATTGTCATTCTGACAGGGGGTAATCGATTACCAAACAGGGGATAATCGATTACTCCACACGATAACCGATTACCATGAACAGGGTAATCAATCACTCCACGTGGTAATCGATTACCATGCACAGGGTAATTGTTGTGCAATTTGTAATCAATTAAATCAACCACACAAATACGCAAGTGCACGTGTCACAAGTAATAAAGGGATGTGTGAGTCTAAGTATCGTTCCCACGAAGATGATTTATAAAGTTTGAGTTATTCAAGTAAAGAAAATAGAAAAAAAGATTGATTTTGATGATTGGATTTATAAACTAAAAGATAATTAAAACTAAGAAAACAATAGACTAATTTTAAAGGTATTAAGGTGATGGATGAGATATAGGTCAGATTCAATTTCCCTGATACAGCAATACTAAAACGATGCTATAACGATGATATATCAATGCTTAATTAGTAACCGAAAACTAAGGTATGCTAGGGCTTTTGGCCAACCTAACATATATACCCAATAACTAATTTCCACATCTCTATGGCCAAATTAATTACTGAATTGTTAAGTTCAAGTTCAAAGGCTATGTGGTGTGAATGATCTCTCTACCCACAACTTAATCAAGTTAACTTTCTTAACCTAATTAATCCACACAATTCAACAAGGGTCTGGATTCGGAAACCTCTCGGCCCTAACCTCCTCAATATCACATATGTATCTCTCGACATGCATATATGAATAAGAATAAACAAACTTGTTCAAAAACTAATTAAACATTAATAAAAACAAGAGTGAATACCCTTTTTGGTCCTCAGCAAATTTCACGATGCCCGTTTTAGTCCTTAGCAAATAAAAAGGCCCATCGTGGTCCCTAAGAAATTCAAAATGGACTCATTTAGTTGAAATTGTGGTCCCTCACAAATTCAAAAAAGATTCATATTAGTCCCTAAAAGGACTAAAATGAGTCCATTTTGAATTTTTTAGGGACCACGATGGACCTTTTTATTTGCTAGGGACTAAAACGGGTATCGTGAAATTTGCTGAGGATCAAAAAGGGTATTTACTCTAAAAACAAAGTTTAGGCATACATCTCAATGTTATAGCTAGCATAGCTACTTTATCACCTAACCTATAGAGCAAATTAGCTCATAATAGAATTAAATAAAACAGAGAAAAGGAAGAAAGAGCTCATTGAAAAACAGAAAAGAAGATGAAACGAAAGTTGTTGTAAAACTCTGTCACAGTCTTACTCCAACAATGCTCCATCAGCTCTTCCTCCTCCAAGAATCTTACTTTCTCTCTCTAAAATGACCCTTCTGACTTGACTTCTCTTCCCTCGTTGTTTCTCTGACTTGTCGACCTCTTTCTTGCTTATGGAATCCGTGGGGGACTCCTCTTTAAATAGGAAAAGTAGTTGGAGAATTGGGCCTTAGGTTTGGGAGTGAGATTCCATGAATCGTGTTGCTGCAGCCTTATCTTATCCCCATTTTCTTGGACTGTTGGCACTTGATCGGATAAGATCTTGATCTTTCTGATTTTCTTGTGCCAATGTCGTTGTGGACTAGATAAGAGTTTGTTGTCCTTGATCTTTGGGATTTTGGGATACGAATTAATCTTTAAAAGCATCTTTGATCTCTACTTGCTAGTGTTTTATCCATTTGTTGGGAAATAAATAACTTTTGAATTTTGAATATTCAGTTGTTCCCTTGTCTACGTTGTCATGCTGTATCGATTGCTATATCATTACTTCGTCAGCTTCTCTGCTACAACATTCTGACGTTAATTTTTCCTGCAAAGACAAACTCTCAACAAGTCATCTTTTCTTACAAAAAACCAAGGAATATTGTCTCATTTTTCATACTTAGTTATCTCAAAGCACTTAATCATAAATATGCAACATTTAGCTTAATTATCAAGCAAACAAGATAACTTATATGAAATTTATGCAACAAATTCTTCATAAAAATACCAAATTAGCTCTCATTTGGGAGAGTTAACAGTAATCGATTACCACGCGGACATAACACGAAAATTGCAGAATTTTCTGCATAATCCGCGGGTTTAATGGCTTCCAAGGGTCCAAGGTCCAATTTTTACCAAAACAGCAGTTCAACTTACATGCTTAAACATCATTATACCATATTTTACATGCATCATTAATATTTCCACACTT